ACCCCAGCTTCACCTTCACGTGTGAGCTCTCCGTTGCCCCATCTTCAAAGGACACAGAGACACCCATTTGCTGATCCCAGTGCAGTGTGAATTCAGATGACAGCACAGAGGTGGGAAAAAGGAGGCACTTTAAAAATATAATTACGATAAAATGAAGAAGCAAAATGTCAAGAAGAAATGGAAATTACTGCTCTTCCTAATGTACCCTTTGCTTAATGGATGACAAATTGTAGCAATAATTCTCGGCACTTGAGGGAAGGGTGCCCCAGGATGGAAATCTGGTGGGGCATTGCCGTGGGAAGAAGCTCTCCTTTTGTTCCCAAGTCTGCCACAACTATTTGCACAGTGAGTTACTTGAAATGGAAGTTTGAGGATGAAACAATCCACAGTTAAAGTATTTTTAAACAAGGAGGGGAAGAAACCTAAGATGCACAACACTTACACTACAGCTGCATCCTTAGAACTCTGGTGCAGATAATAAGTATACAAAGTCGTGTTAAATTTTCTTCTGAGACAATTAACTCAAAGACAATATGAAGCTTCACGCCATGGAAGCTAATCCAGGGATCAACAATCAGGGTAAATCATCTACGACCATCTCCCACTCTGTACCCAGGACCTCTCCTTCATAATCCATAATCCATCCTTCATAATCCATGACCAACTGTAAAGAACCGCGTATTTTTCCACATGTCCTTCTTTTTCCCATGTCACTGGGCTTTCAAATGGACCACCAGGGAAGCCTCAGGAAACCCAGTGCAGTTGGTGCACTGATGAGGGCTTGGGGGAGGGGTGGGGGGGCAGGTAGAGGGTTGAGGTCAGAGCTGAGCCATGAAACGATGTTTGAGGTCAGGAGAATGACTGAAAAGTGGGCCAGGGTTTGACTAGCCTTTTAGGTGCTCTTGGGAATAGCTAGAAATTATTCTGCAGCATCCAATCTAAGCCTTCTGATGTACTCTTTGCTCTCAATGTGCTGAAGTGTAATAAAAATATATAATAGGCCAGGCTTGGTGGCTCAGCCTCTAATCCCAGCACTTTGGGAGGCCAAGGCGAATGGATTGCCTGAGCCCACGGGTTCGAGACCAGCCTGGGCACCTTGGCGAGACCTTATCTCTAAAAAAACAACTAGCAGGGCATGGTAGCATGTGCCTGTAGTTCTGGCTACTTGGAAAGCTGAGGTGGAAGGATCACTGGAGCCCAGCAGGTCGACACTGGGGTGGCCATGAGTGTGCCACTGCACTCCAGCCTGGGCGACACAGTGAGACTCCTATTCATATATTCATATATATATATATGTATATTAAGATTTCACTAAGTGCATGGCAATAATATTTGTTGGAATTTTCCCAGCCATGGCACCCCAACAGTATATTTAGAAAATTATTCCTCCGGCCAGGCATGATGGCTCACTCCTATAATCGCAGCACTTTGGGAGGCTGAGGTGAGAAGATTGCCTGAGCCCATGGGTTCGAGACCAGCCTGGGCAATTTGGAGAGACTTCATCTCTACAAAAAATTAAAAAATTAGCAGGGCATGGTGGCACATGCCTGTAGTTCCAGCTACTTGGAAGGCTGAGGTGGAAGGATCAACTGAGCCCAGCAGGTCAAGGCTGCGGTGGCCGTCAGTGTGCCACTACACTTCAGCCTTGGCAACAGAGTGAGACTCCGACTCAAAAAAATTATCCCTCTATTGTGAGCAACATTGTTAGGACTGCCACTCAATGTGTCCTGGCCTGGCCAAGCAGTAGGCATGTAGTCCAAGCTGACAAATAGAGCTGCTTCTGCTAAATTATCAATTCTCAGACAGTAGGACTCAAAGATAAAAACGTTTGTGAGCCGGGCTCGGTGGCTCAGCCTGTAATCCCGCGCCTTTGGGAGGCTGAGGTGAGTGAATTGCCTGAGCCCGCAGGTTCAGGTGAGTGAATTGCCTGAGCCCGCCTGGCAGCGAGACCTCATCTCTACAATAAATCAAAAAATCAGCCGGGCGTGGTAGCGCATGCCTGTAATTCCAGCTACTTGGAAGGCTGAGGTGGAAGGATCACCGGAGCCCAGCAGGTGAGGCTGTAGTGGCCGGGAGCAGCCACTGCACTCCAGTCTGGGCGACCGAGTGAGACTCCAACTCAAAAAAAAAAAAAAGTTTGTGGTTGACCAAACTGCAGTTAGTGCCTGATAGTAACATATCTTGTCCCTTCTGTGATCGGTGTTTGGGTAATTCTTTAATTCTGTGAGTTACCCCATGGTCTTCTAATGAAATTCATTGTTTACTGTGTATTTGTTTCCCAGGGCTGCCATGACAACATGCCACAAACTGGGCAGTTTAACACAACAGAAATTATTCTCTCAGAGAATTCTCAAGATTAGAAGTGCCGGCCAGGCGTGGTAACTCATGCCTATAATCTTAAAACTTTGGTGGGCCTAGATGAAAGGATCGCTTGAGCCCAGGCGTTCAAAACCAGCTGGGCAATATAGCGAGACCTTGTCTCTACAAAAAATAAAAAAATTAGCCAGATGTGGTGGCGTACGCCTGTAGTCCCAGCTACTCAAGCAGCTGAGGTGGGAGGATCCCCTGAGCCCAAGAGGTCAAGGCTGCGCAGTGAACCATGATCGTGCCACTGCACTCCAGCCTGGGTGACAGAGTGAGATCCCAACTCAAAAATAAAGAGAGGGAATTAGAAATGCAAAATCAAAGTGCTGACTGGGTTGGTTCTTTCTGGAGCCTTTTAGGGAGAATCTGCTCCCTGCCTGCCTTCTAGCTTCTGGTGGCTGCCAGCAACACTTGGTGTTCCTGACTTGTGGATATACCATGCCAGTCTCTGCCTCTGCCTTCATTTGACCTTCTCCCCTGTGTGTCTGTGTCCAAATTTCCCTCTTCTTAGGACTGATTTTATTCTACTTTAACTACATGGCAAAGACCTTATTCCCAAATAAGATCACATTCAGAGCTTCCGAGTGAACATGCATTTTAAGAGGACACTATTCAACCTAGTACAGCTTGCAAACCCAAATCCCTAACACATCCAGTTATGTTCCAAACCCAGGTTAAGAGTGGGTCCTACACATGATCTGCTTTAATCTTGACAACCACCCTTAAGGTAGGCCCCTTTATTGCCTTTATTTTAGAGGTGGAAGAATGAAGACCAGGAGGACTTGCTCAAGGTTACACGGCCAGTAGGAAGCAGAGTTAGGATTCAGGACGCAACTCTAATCTGAAGCTGTTTCTCTTTACCACTACAATATATTCCAGACTCTGCCCTAGTTAGAAGAGCACTGCCAGTCTCCCAACTCACAACCATGAGCTATGAAAGAAACGCGGTCTACTTATCAATCTGGAGCCAGATCTCCACACTTCTGCACGGCCACCCTCCCCTCCCTGCACCTTAGTACTGGGTGATAACCAAAGTCATGACAAGAATAGAGCCAGGAAGAAGTTCACGTGGGTAGCCATGACAGGGAGACTCGCCAAGCTCTGGTCCCAGGGAAGACTCTTGGCTGAAAGAGGACTTGCTCAGAGATCTCTGGTTGACCCACTGTGTGAGGCTTTAAGACAAATTCAGATCTTTCCAGAAGCCTTCAGCAGATGGAGAGAGCTATATTCTACAAAAATATGAGCCCAGAGTCTGCCGGATTTTGAACTTAAAAGACAGACCCTCACCCATACACATTCCCCTCGCCTTCCTCCAGGGGAGACTCTGAGATCCGGTTGCTCCCTAGGGCGAGAGCATCTGGTCCTGGAAGCAGATCCTGACATGTGGTGCCAGAGATGGGTCAGAATGTCCTAAGGTAAAAATAGAATCGATGTGCTTTGAACTCTAAACTCAGGGGATGTCAGGTAGCTAGAGGACTGTGTTATCTGCACCTCTTTAGAACTGAGCCAGAGTCTGAAAAGATTTCAACCAACGGAGGGAGTTTCTTTTTGTGATTGTTGTTATTGTTATACGAGTGCTACATACTCTTCATGGAAATATTTTAAAAAGAAAAGCAAAAGGGAAATAAAAATTATTCATTAGCCTGCCATCTGAAGACATCTGCTATAAATATTTGTATTTGTAACCTTTCACATATTTTTAAATGTTTCTCCCTCAAAAAAAAGGTATCCACTGTGCATAGTGTTGCAACCTGCTTCTTTAACCTAAAAATGTATCCCAAATAGCTTTTCATCTCAGCAAATATTGTTCTATAATATGATTTTTCGTGACTATATAATAATTCACTGTGTGATGCCTCTTGTTGAACATTTAGGTTATTCCAGGTTTCTGCTGCAAAATGTAACATTCCTGCTAAATCTTTGCACATGATTTATTTCCTTAGACTAAACTCCTAGAAATCTAATTATTCGGTGGAATGCTATGTAACACTCAAGGTTTTTTCTAGATGTGTTGCTAGACCATCCACCAGGAATGTTATGCCAGTTTGCACTCTTGCCAGCAGTGGATAAGAAAGCCCATTTTGTGTGCCTTTGCCAAAAATGGATTTTGCCATTTAAAAAATCTTTGGCCAAGCTCGGTGGCTCAGCCTGTAATCCCGCGCTTTGAGAGGCTGAGGTGAGTGGATTGCCTGAACCCACGGGTCCGAGACCCGCCTGGGCAACTTGGCGAGACTTTGTCTCCACAATAAATAAAAAACTAGTTGGGCATGGTAGCGCGTGCCTGTAGTCCCAGCTATCTGGAAGGCTGAGGTGGAAGGAAGCCCAGCAGGTCGAGGCTGCGGTGGCCGGAAGCGGCCACCGCACTCCAGTCTGGGCGACAGAGTGAGACTCCAACTCAAAAAATAAAAAATAAAAAAATAAAAAATCTTTGAAGGCACCACTTATTCCGTGAAAGCATTCACAATGCTGAAAAGCCAGACTTTTCCAGACAAGGAATGCATTTGAGTCACTAAATTAGTCCAGTTACTCTGAAATGATTTAATTTCTGTTCCTGTGCCTGATGCAGCCTTTCCACTCACTGGTGTCTTGGGAATGAACATGGTAAGGAGAAACTTAGAAGAGAAGGAAAGACGCACAGATTCTCCTGTCTCTGCAGATACTGAAGAGGCCGGTGCTCCAGTTCCCGCCAGTCTGGACAACTGCCACGATAGTAGTCCTGCTGGTGGCTCCCCGGACAGGCTGCTTCACCACCACCGGGACTGGCACAAGGTCCCTGGAGAGCGAAGAGTAATGGTTAACTTAGAAACAAAGATTCTTCCGACAATAACCATGAAGCTAGACAGAGTGATAAGGAGGAGATGGGTCCGGCGCTGTCCAGGGGCTCAGAACTCACAGCCAAAACTGCTGTGAGAACTCAGTCAGACCGTCTCCCCTGACTTTTTGCCTCATCTCTATTAACGGCATTATTCTTCTAAATCCTGTCACTCAAACTCGATGTCCAGTCTATTTCCTCAGGGTTTCTCAGTGCTTCATATTAGTTAAATCCACAAATCTGGAACCAAAAGACCTCAGTTCAAACCTCACATTCCACTTCCTGGAGGCCTCACCTCTCTGCCCTCTGTGGATTCAGATGAGAAACTACCTCATGAGGCTATTGTGTCTATTGAAGGACAGGTGATTCGTTTACTGCCCAAGGTCCATGTGACAAAGTGACCCCATGAAGTGGGCTCCAAGGAATGGACTGAGTGGGCAGACTAAAACCTGGACTAGGCTATTGAAGTCGTCCTGCAGTATCACTTAAATGAATAAACCAGACTTCAGAATATGTCTTGATGTTAAACTACTGTATGATCGACCTAGGGCAGCCAAAAAGTACAACATTGAGTTGATTTTCCTAAAAGGAATGGGTATTTCACTGTCAATCATTCTGAATTAGGAAATGAGGGTCCAGGCCCCGGGCTTTGAAAATGAACTGAAGAAAAAGACTTTCTCTTTCTGAACTTCAGCTGTGGGATGCCTGGAGCAAAGGGTGGGCTCAGAGCAGGCGGAAGGGCCCAGAAGGAGTCTGCATCCACACAGTGCAGTGGTCCTTCTGTCTTGGGCTTCTCTTTCGGCAAGCCTCGTGAAGAGTTTGCACCTGATTTCTGGTGTGCTGTGAAGAATTAAAGAACTAGCCTGCCTCATACTTGAGACGAAGCAAAGAAGAGATACCAGCACTTCTTCCTGCAACAGTTGTTGCAGTAATAGGCACCAAAGCTTAGCACCTGGGACACACAGCCCGGAGGCCAAAGCAGAACAGTTCTAACCATTCTGAAGGCAACGCCCTGGGAGCATCTTGGAAACAGCTAGGAAGCCCTGTACCTCTTGGTTTTTAGCGATAAAGCCAATGAGATTTCGTGGTATGATAATATGGGTTTTATTCCTCTTGTTCTTAAGATCCACATCTCTTTTTTATCCCACAAGTACTGCACATGTCCACACTGTCCCAAACATGACAGCAATTAGCTTGTTAAAAAAAATTTTCTTTCCAAGCCTTATCCTAGACCAACAGCACAGGTTACCAAGGATGAGGCACAAAAATGAGTATCATTAACAGGGTTTCCAGGTGATTCTTAAGCGGTCATCCTGATACCATTCTGAAACTTGACACCAGTGACTCTGGAGAACACTGACGTGGGGACCACAGTAGCTTCAAAGTCTCCCACTTGCCAGGTGGTGATACCTGCGTAACCGATGGGAAAAAAAATAGGAGGCAGGCCAGAAGGGAAGGGGATGTTTGGAACATATGCAGCCCCAAGTGTCAGTGAGACACGGAGGGCCGGGAATGGGGCTAGGGAGGCCTCTGTCAAAGTATGAAGGCGAGCTGTGCCTTTTCACCCATAAGGCATTACAGACAAAATCCAGGGTCTAGCAAGGTTTTCGAGGGCCTACATAAGTGTTTGAGATGCGGAAATAAGTGTTGGCACTAAAACATAAATCAATGCTCAATTAGACACAAAAATTTAACATTTTATATCCATTTTATTAATTGTCAGATTCAGGGTTCACAAATACTTTACTACACTTGAAAACAATTCATAAGTTATTTTGCTTTGCAAAATTTCCCAAGTGTGAATGGTTGCTGAGGAGAAGCCAGTCATAAATTGAATTAATTACTAGTCATCAAGCACGCTCAAAAGCAAAATTATAAAGATCCTTTTACATACAGTACAGCAAAGTTTATATATATGTGGATATACTGTATGGTGTGGGCATATTTCAATATGTCCATTATGATGTGAGTGAGGGCCCATTGCTGTGGGTGGAGCTGCAGTCCCCAAGAAGCATCTGTCAGGCCCTCACCCCTAACATGACTGTATCTGGAGACAGAGCTTTCAGGAAGTAGACATGGTTAAGTGAGACCACAGGCATGAGACCCCGACTCACTAGGACTGGTGGCTTCCTAAGAAAGAGGGAGCTCTCCCTCTCCACGTGCAGGTAGAAAAGAGGCCGCGTGCACACTGCAGACCAGTGAGAGGGTCCCCCGGGGACCTGGACCCTCCTGTGACACCTGGTCTCAGACGCCAGCGTCCAGACTGTAAGAGTAACTGCCCTCGTTTAAGCCATGCAGGCTGGGCATTCAGTGACGGCAGCCCGAGTGGATGAAGACCTCTGTGCAAATCCGAAGCTGGCCCTGAAGAGCCCACTTCCTACAGGACTCCTCTCCCCCACCGCGTGGTGCTCCCGGAGCTAGGGCCAACCCTGCAGAGCTCTCCCCCCTGTGCCCAGCAGCCCGATCGTCTCCAGAAACCTGCTGGGGATGTGGGAAATCTCAGTGAGTTGGAGCAAAAGGATTCACACGTGTCTTCCGTCACACGTGAGTCCTCCTTAAGTCTGGCTATAAGTAGGTGGCCTTCACCGCGTTTTCCTCTCCAGGGAGGCACAGCTCTCGGGCGTCAAATGATGAGACGCCAGCAGAGGGCAGCCCGTGCTCTTTCTGCATCCCCCCGCTCCACCTCTTCGCTGTCCACAGGCCAAGCCTCCGGCGCCCGACTAAGAGCTTCAGTCATCCGACATTAGTAGAGGGATTTCTCGGGGGCTGAACACACGAATTAGATTTTCCCCTGAAGTGAACCATTGACGCCTTGCAGCCCTAGAATAGCAATCTTTGCTTCCATCTCACGATGATGTGCACAACATCTTTCATGACAGCAAGGAAGCCTGTCTTCCTCGCATGTGCGCATGGAGAGAGATCTCCCCCTCTCTTTCTTCTTCTAAGGCCACCCATCCTATTTAATCAGAAATTCGCCTAAATTTCAAATAATTTCTAAATCAAATAACCAAGAGGATAGCTTTTCCTTCGTGGAGAATAAGTCGATTTTTCCTGTGTTTGCCTAATTTTGAACTCGAGGAAAAATGTATTTGGTTAGGCAGGGTGGCTCACTCCTAGCACTTTGGAACAGGGAAGCAGGAGCACTGCTTGAGCCCAGGAGTTCGAGACCAGCCTGTGCAACATAGTGCAACCTCATCTCGACAAAAAATAAATAAATTACCCAGGCATGGTTGCACACCCCTGTGGTCCCAGCTACTTGGGAGGCTGATGCAGAAGAATCGCCTGGGCCCAGGAGGTCAAGGCTGCAGTGAGCCATGATCATGCCATCGCACTTCAGCCTGGATAACAGTGAGACTCCAACTCAAAATAAAATTTAAAAATACACACACACACAAGGGGATACCCCTCCCTAAAAAAAACGGTATTATCTTTTAGAGGTTGGACTCCTTGTAGTACAAGTTTCCCCACTAGGAACCCATCAGCATCAGTGTGCCAGCTGGCATTGTTGTGAGAGGCTGCATTCAGTTTTCAGTGAATTTATCTTGGAGATTCTTCCAATGTGTTCACGCGTTTCATGATGGGAGTATGAGCGTATCTGCCCACACAGCACTGAGTGTTCAGCAGTTTTTGACCCCTGTGCCCCACCCGCCCTATTCACCTAACTTCGCCCTGAGCGACCATTTTTCCTTGGATGAAAAAAGTCCACAAAGGGAATCATTTTGCCGATGTAGAAGAGGTGAAACAAAAAAGCGGCGGAAGAACTATAAGCCATCAGTATTGGTGAGCCTTGGGAAAAGCGTCTTGATAGTGAATCACATCAAACGGAGAGTACTTTGTAGGTGACTGAAGTTTAAACATGTAAGAATAAATATACAATTTTAAATAAATTCCAGGTTTTGGGGGGGAGTCCCATCTTGTGTGTGTGTGTGTGTGTGTGTGTGTGTGTGTGTAGTATTTTCTTTTTTCTTTCCTTTTTTTTTTTTTGGAGTTGGAGTCTCACTCTGTCACCCAGACTAGAGTGCAGTGTCTGCTCCCGGCCACCGCAGCCTCGACCTGCTGGGCTCCGGTGATCCTTCCGCCTCAGCCTTCCAAATAGCTGGAACTACAGGCGTGTGCTACCACGCCCGGCTAATTTTTGATTTACTGTAGAGATGAGGTCTCGCCAAGTTGCCCAGGCGGGTCTCCAACCCGCGGTCTCAGGCAATCCACTCACCTCAGCCTCCCAAAGTGCTGGGATTACAGGTTGAGCCACGGAGCCCGGCTAGTATTTTCTTAATACCCAGAATCTTTGGTGATGTTTATATTTAAATGTTTGAATTGATATACATTGGCTAAGATATTTCAGTTCAAAATTCTTGCTTATGTCATAATTAAAATAACCTCCACAGCTACACTTCACTGAGCATCTTCTATATGCCAAGCACTCAGCAGTTCAATTAAGAACAGAAATATTATTCAGGGGCTGATATAGGTATCAGACTAGAAGTGGCTCTTGTAGATTCCTGGCCAGCTTTTCTGCATGCTCCTCCAGGGAGCCTTATGCCACCATGAACAGGAATAAGTTTACAAACAGTGGGTGAAACTGATGGCCACAAGGCTCTGCTAAATCAGAGAAGCTGTTCATTTACCATCAAACTCAACAAGTTCTTCATTTCGTAGAAAGAGCACAGATACTAGACTCAGGCACACAGAAATTCAAATGCAGCAGCCACATTAGTTGTTTGATTTTGGGAAACACAACTTGTCATAGCCCTCAGTTCTGGCCTCTTTCTCCATAAAACTGGATTTAAAATATCCTAGTCCCTCTGTTGCCATAAGTCTTAAACGAGATCATGGACCTGGCACACAGTAGTACACAGTTGATGGCAGCAGTTGTTATTATTGCAACTTAAAGATCCTTGGAAATTCTGTATACTTTTCTGAGAAATAGAGAAAGGACATCTGAGCTAGTTTTTCAGTTGTCATATGTGTTAGTCATGTGCCTTAAAAATCAGCCAGGCCAGGCTCAGTGGCTCAGCCTGTAATCCCAGCACTTTGGGAGGCCGAGGCGAATGGATTGTCCGAGCCCACGGGTTTGAGACCCACCTTGACAACTTGGCGAGACCTCATCTCTACAATAAATCAAAAATTAGCCAGGCGTGGTAACGCACACCTGTAGAAGACCGAGGCGGAAGGATCGCCAGAACCCAGCAGGGCGAGGCTGTGGTGGCCGGGAGCGTGCCACTGCACTCCAGTCTGAGTGACAGAGTGAGACACCAACTCAAAAACCAAAAAAATCAGCCAGGGTGATGGCCAGGAATGGAGGTGCACACCTATAACCCCAGCAACTTTCTACGCCAAGGCAGGAGGATTACTTGAGCCCAGGAATTCAAGACCAGCCTGGGCAACATAGTGAGATCCCCATCTCTAAGAAAAAAAAAAAAAATCAGTCAGGATGACCAACCATTCCGGTTTTCCCAGGACTAAGGATTTTCTAGGATGGGAAACATTCAGTGCTAAAACCAGGACAATCCCAGCAAACCAAGATAGTTGGTGATCCTAATCCTCAGAAGCACAATGAGACTTCAATTTGGGAGGCAGGATGGACAAGAGGCTAAGTCCTGTCAAAGTCTGATCTTCTCTTACCGAGTAATAGTATTGGAAGCTGGATGAGACACACCTTTCCCTTCTGACCTCACTCTGCTCCTCCACCTCTGGCAGCCAAGCATATGCTCACTGCAAGTGTCCACACGACAGGCACTTCAGCCTGGGGTGTATCATGTCACTTTTCCTTAATCAAATGTGGAGTACTGACAAATCATTCTGTTTTCCACTCAGGCCTCTTAACTGAAGCCAAAACCCTTGAGTTTTTATTTCAAAAAGGTGGAAATTACTAAGCTGTCACCCACAATAAAGTTTCACCTGGTCAGAGTTCAACATTTTCAGTTAAAAATAAAGAGACACCGTTTCACCCAAGCCAGTCCTTTCCTTCTCACCAGCTAAGCAAAGTTAGAAGGAACTCATCAGTTGCCCCCCATCATGACCACATGGGAGAGCAATCACTTTCTTCCCAAGCCCAGCTTCTTTTCCCTGGTCCTTATAAGAGATTGATTTGATATTCCAACTGAAGAGCAAAAGCTAGAAAAAAATTCATCCCTCTACCTCAGGCTGGAAATAAAGTGTTGTCCATCTTCAGCTGACATGGATGACAGCAGCAGTGGCAAGTGTGGGTTGAGGAAGGACACACCCTCAGGACACTTGGAGAAGTAACTTCCAAGTCAGTTCATAGGGAAAAGTGCTTTCTTGTCACTTGGGCTGTCCATTTCCCTTTGACAATAAGCTGATTGTAAGCTTCAAGCCAAAGTGGTCTCTCTTGAAAGAATGTTTCCTTGATATTCCAGAACCTGAGGTCATAGCAATGTAACTGACAGACATCTTTCTCTTTTAAAGACATGTACACATTTAACTGCAGGCAAGTTCATTTTACTTATATGTGGGGAGATGCTGCTGGAGATATCGTGTAAGTAGAAAAAAGGACTCATCTTTGGTAGAAAAAATCCCTTTGCTTTAAGAGACACCTCTGGTATATATTTATCTGGCTAAGTGTCACCTGGCCTTTCCTTAGAAGATTCAGAAGGCTGCAGGTGCGCCATGCCCTGTGGCTGGGAAGTGGCAGGGCCTGTCTCCATCCTCAGGACAGCTGGCCCAAGTGAGCAACATAACACAAGTCCCACAGCTAGCCCAGAAACAGGGCCAAAAAGGCCTTTCTGTCCAAGTATGGCATCTGAATCCATCTTACATAAGGTGGTCTCCTCAAGTTTGAGCTAGGCAAATCAGGGTGACTCAGACACAGCCACCTAACAGCTTCCACTCGTGGGTTTGGACACCTGGCATCCTCTGAATCGTGAGGATGCATCCACCACCAAGGACAGTGTGCGTCCTCTGTTAGCTTCTATTCCAAGTGCTTAACAGTGTTGCCACATACAAAGCACTCCATGATTTGTTGAGTAAATGTGCTACAAATGAAAATACAGGTTTCTACAAATAACAGAAATGAGCGGAGCCACCGAGCCCAGCTCATTTGTACACTTTCTAATCAAACATCTATTGTATAAGGTGACTAGTCCACGTGCTACCCAGTTTTTGCACTTAAAAATAAATTTAAAAGAGTAAAAAGAAAAAGGAATGCTCTTCACAGAAGAATGGCAAATATTTATGAAAAAGAAATGATAGCATTAGAAAATCCCTATTTTGCATAGACCCCAACATAAGAACTTATCAGGAAAGAATATTCAAGAGGTATTAAAACCATCAGATTTTAAAAATTGGGAACAGAATATTACCAAGATGTCACATATTTCTAATTGCAAAAGAGAAAACATATCTTAACAATGAAGAATTCCAGAAGTACTCAAAATGAGTCTTTACAATGGAAAGTTCTGAAAGTGTTAAAAAAGAAAAAAATAAGCCGGGCTCGGTGGCTCAGGCTGTAATCCCGCGCCTTTGGGAGGCTGAGGTGAGTGGATTGCCTGAGCCCGCGGGTTCGAGACCCGCCTGGGCAGCGAGACCTCATCTCTACAATAAATCAAAAAATCAGCCGGGCGTGGTAGCGCGCGCCTGTAGTTCCGGCTCCTCGGAAGGCTGAGGCGGAAGGATCGCCGGAGCCCAGCAGGTCGAGGCTGCGGTGGCCGGGAGCGGCCACTGCACTCCAGTCTGGGCGACGGAGTGAGACTCCAACTCAAAAAAAAAAAAAAGAAAAAAATATCTTTACCATAAAAGCTCTGGAAGTGACTTTAACAAATGTATCTTTAATACAATGTTTTGGAAGTGATCAAAATGCACTTTTAACATGGAGAGTCTTGGGAATTATCAAATTTAGCACCACGAATGGGACAAACTGACATTATGTATTTGTTTATATGATGCAATGGAAGTAATGTTTAATGTTAGCCTACATTTCATCAAGTCTCTAGACCACGCTGTTCAATAGAAATATCATTTGAGACACATATGTCATTTTAAATTTTCTATTAGTCACATTAAACAAAAATGTAAAAAGAAATAGCTAACATTAATTTTAATATTATATTTTATTTAACCCAATATGCGAAGGGGGACCCAGAAAACCTGGCATTATTTGTTGGAGGGTAAGCCCCTTGTAGTACAAGCTTCCCCCGCTAGGTAAGTGTTCTAGGAACCCACCGGCCTCAGTGTACTTACTGGCTAGCGTTGTGAGAGGCTGCGTTCAGCTTCCGAAAATTTTCTTGGGGGGGTGATTCTTTCACGGTGTTTGCCCATTTTACAACAGATGGTTTATGCGCACACCTACCCACACCACGCTGAGTGTTCAGCAGTTTTTGACAAAAAACAGCGTGTCCCCCACGTCCCATCCTCCCTATTCACCTGATCTCAGCCCAAGCGACTTGTTTCCCCAATGAAAAAAAGTCCTCAAAGGGCAGCATTTTGCTATGGAAGAGGTGAAACAAAATGGTGGAACCACTAAAAGGCATCAAAATCGACAAATTCAAAACTTTTGAGCAGTGGAAAAGACATCTTGACAGTTGTGTTGCATCAAATGAAGAGTATTTTGAAGGTGACAGAAATTTAAACATGTAAGAATAAACACACAATTTTTATAAATAAATTCTGGTGACCGGGCTCGGTGGCTCAGCCTCGGTGGAATGAGGCGGCCAGGGCTCTAATACAACTCTGCCTCTAGTGCACAGAATCTTGAGTAAATCACTCTTCATTTCTAAACGTGTTTCTTCATGCGGCCTCCTGCTTGTCTTTCAGAACACCAGCTACACACCTGGCCTCAGAGCCTGTGTACTTGCTCTTCCCTCTGCCTAACATGGGTTTGCCCAGCTATCTTCTAAGCCACACCAGCGTTTACCGTCAGACCCACAAACCCATTGCTAGAAGTGTACTCTGAAGACCTGCCCAAATCTGAAATGGCATCTTCATAAGGTTACTCACTATATCATCCTATACAAATCCCATAAAATATCAAAAACTTGAAAACAACCTAAGTGTCCATCCAGAGAAGACTGGTTGAATAAACTACAGTACACCTTATAAATAGTATTTAGGGGGTAGAAGAGGAGGAAGAGGAAAGGAGATGGAGAAAGAAGAGGAACAAAAGTAGAAATTATCTAGGGTATACTGTTAACGCTAAAAAAAAGATGTAAAATAATTATATTATATAATCATATAGGTAGATACACCATGCTACTTTTTACAAAAGTACATATAAATATTTGCTTATTTCTGGAAAAAAGAAAAATATTCCAGGAATAACAACAGTTAGCTATAAAAAGTAAGTGGGTTGTGGTGGAGAGGAAGAATTCTCTGGGTGGGTATAATTTTGGCTTTTGAATTATGTATTTTACTTATTCAAAAAATAAATTTTAAAAAAGCAGTCTGGGCACAGTGGCTCATGCCTGTAATTCCAACACTTTGGGAGGCTAAGGCAGGAGAATCACTTGAGCCTAGGAGTTCAAGACCAGCCTGGGCAATACAGTGAGATCTCATCTCTACAAAAAAAATTAAAAATTAGCCAGGCATGGTAGCACATTCCTGTAGTCCCAGCTACTTGGGAGGCTGAGGCAGGAGGATGGCTTGAGGTTGTGGTGAACTGAGACCATGCCACTGCACTCCAGCCTGAAGACTCAAAAAAAAAAAAAGCGAACCATAAAATTGAATATAAAGAGAAACAAATGACTATAACTCTATTAAAACCACAAAAAAGAATCCAAGAAACATTTCCTGATTTAAGAAACTTACAAAAAAATTACTTCAAGAAATATTTGAATATAGTGCTCTCTTAGTGAGATATATTCTAAAGACTCAAAGAACTACAACAGAAAAAAAATACTGAACTCTACTTAGTAGATTAGTTGTTAACAGAATTGGATTGGCAATTCTGTAGTACTAATAGGCCAAATGAGTAAATATATTGAGGCTCCAGGGAACCAGAGTTTCACAGTGTGAGAGAAGAAACATAAATATGTAGGGGAAAAGGCGAGAAATAATGACAGATAAAATTATGACTTAAAAATACACTACAGCTTTCTCAGTTCTGTTCGTTAAAGACCTAAAAAATCAATGTCCTTAGGAGACCCACACATGATCTTGTGTGTCTTAATACCATTCTCCACTAAAATGAAGAGCTCCTTAGAAAGAAGACTAATTTCTAGTTCTGAGACAGGAAAATATAAAATGAACTGGGAACTTCTTATACCAATAAGCAAAGAAATGCTCCAAGATTTATTGGGAGGTACCAAAGGGACACCGGAGCCTGCTTGAATGGTGTTAATTTAGGAAAATTTGAGCAAAGAATAATGATTACGGCATAAATGAAAGAAAATTTTCACCAGCCCATAGTGATTTGAAAACGATGCATGAAATAAATTGGAAGCAAAGATGAAACCTCTTCTTTACAGAATGATACCAAATAAACGTAGAAGAAATTATTCTTTTACCTTTTTTTTTTTTTTTTTGAGTTGGAGGTCTTACTCTGTTGCTCAAGCTGGAGTGCAGTGGCATGATCACGGCTTACAGCAGCCTTGAACTTCCAGGCTCAAGTGATCCTCCTCCTTCAGCCTCAGGCATGCATTAATCATACCCAGCTTACTTATTTTTTAGTATAGACGAAAAATGTTGCCCAGGCTGGTCTTGAACTCCTGTGCTCAAGCAATCATCCTGCATTGGACTCCCAAAGTGCTGGGATTACAAGTGTGAGCCACCACTCCTGACCAATTTTATCACTTTTTAAGAATGCATCATATTACAATGTAATAACTGACAGAAATGTTATCCATGAACGCTACCACTTGGTAAAAGTTTGCTGGTAAATAGTTGTCTTAATCCTTTGGAGGCTGCTATAACAAAACACCTTGGACTGGGTAATTTATAAACAACAGAAATGTATTGCTCACAGTTCTGGAGGCTGGGACGTCCAAGATCAAGGCACCAGCACATTCGGGGGCTGGTGAGGGCCCCTTCCTCATAGATGATGCCTTCTGTGTTCACAAGGCAGAAGAGCAAAAGGGCTCCCTCAAGCCTCTTTTATAAGGGCACTAATCCCCTTATGAGGGCACAGTCCTCATGGCCTAATCACCTCCAAAAACCCACCTCCTGCCCCCCTGACACCATTACCATTGGAGTTAGGTTTCAACAAATGAATCTGGGGGAGAACACAAACATTCAGACCGTAGCAACAGGATATTCACATAAGCCTCAAAATGTGATCTCGCAGACTAAATACTACAAAAAGGAGGGACTTTTCAACGGAAAAATATGAAGATGCTACTTTAACCAAGCAGTCAAATGCAGCATCACCAATAATGGAGCAAATCCACAATATATTAATCCTCATATGATACCATGGGAAATATCACCTATATAGTTCTCTTGCCAAGATTTTAAATCTGATTCTAACCATGAGAAAATACACAAATCCAACTTGTGAGCATCCTATTAAAAACTGGCTTGAGCCGGGCTTGGTTTCTCAGCCTGTAATCCCACGCCTTTGAGAGGCTGAGGTGAGTGGATTGCCTGAGCCCGCGGGTTTGAGACCCGCCTGGGCGGCGAGACCTCATCTCTACAATAAATAAAAAAATCAGCCAGGCGTGGTAGTGCGCGCCTGTAATTCCGGCTACTCGGAAGGCTGAGACTGAAGGATCGCCAGAGCCCAGCAGGTCGAGGCTGCGGTGGCCGGGAGCAGCCACTGCACTCCAGTCTGGGCGACAGAGTGAGACTCCAACTCAAAAAATAAATAAATAAATAAATAAAACTGGCTTGAATTCTTCTAAAATGTTAGTCATGAAATGAAATACCAAAAAAATTAAACAGAGAAACTATCCTAGTTTAAAGACCAATAGATATAACCATAAAATGCTTACTTTGATTGAATCTTGAGTTAAAAAAAAATCACCTATTATTGAGATACCATCAAAATTTTATTTCCTCAATTTTATTAAGAAAACTATTACCTAATATTACTGTATCAAGCTAAATTATTTGGCATAATAATACTATGATTATACAAAATACCCTAGTTCTTAGAAGTAGCACACTAAACTACTGAAAGATGAATTTTCATGGTGTCTGTAACTTACTACCAAACGGTTCTGAATTTTTTTTACATATGAGTATATTCTAAATGCAATATGGTATCCTGGATAGGATCCTGTAAGAATAAAAAGACATTGTTAGAAAAACTGGTGAAACCCAAATAAAGTCTACAATTTTAGTTAGCAATAATGTGCCATTACTAATTAGTTTTGACAACTGAACAAAGGTTATGTAAGATGTTATCAGAAGAAACTGGGTGAAAGGTATATAGAAACTCTATTAAAAATAGAACTTTTCTGTAAATCTAAAACTATTTCAAGATACATATTTTATTTTTTAAAGTTTACATTTAAAAAGAGATAAAGCAAATATGGAAAAATATTAACAATTGGTAAGTCGTGACAGGTATGTAGATGTTTACTGGCCAGTTCTTGCAACTTTTTTTATAGGCTTAAAATTTGTCAAGCTGTCAAAAGATAATACAGCTATAGAAGGTTAAGAGTTTAAAAAATGTTCCACAGAAACACTAACCAAAAGAACCAGTGTTACCATATGCTGGACAAAGTAGCCTTTAGAGGAAAAAAAACCCAAAAACTTTAAAAATAAAGAGTAGTACTTTCTAACTAGAAAAGTTCAATTTACCATAAAGATAATATAATCTAAATTTATAACACAGCCTCAAAATATATACAACAAAAACTGTCAGATATATAAGAAGATATAGGTAACTCCATTGTCGTGACATTTTCGTATACCTCTCAAAAACAGAAAACAAAACAGTAAGGAGATAATTTGAACAATTCAGTCTGCAACTCTGACCTAATAGACAAATACAGAATGCTACAATTGTAGAATACATGCTTTTGAAGTTCACATGGAACATTTATAAAAACTGACCAAATATGGGGCCATGGTTTATCTCTAGTGAGCAGAGAGGCAAAAGGCAGGCTTCTGCACTACTGGCATTTTGTCATTCCATGACTGGTCGGTAACTGCATAGGAGTTTGCTTTACTGTCAACCTTTTTTTGGAGGGGGTAGGAAAGGGGTTATGTGTATACTACAAATTTTTTGTTGTTCACCTTTTGTGAATATTATGCACATTATATTTCAAAACTTAAAAAAGATTAAAATCCCTTAGAAAGGCACTAACATACATCAATGTAATAAGGTCAATGTAGCCTGTTCTTCCTTCAGCGTATCAACTAATTGCTGCTTCTTCAGTTGAGTACCAGATGAAGTAACATGCTTATACTTATAGGCTCCCTTGTACAAAACTTACATATCTTTAAACATGAGAAGCATATTCATCCTAGCAGGAGGCTTATTCTAAAAGAGACACACAGAAATCGAGACTGTAAGAACAGGAGATCCATGGATCCTAACTCACGCTTAATCCAAGCATCACAGACTCATTTAATAAAATGGACACAATCACTCATAATATTATAATTTGCCTTTCTTTTTCTTTTTTTGGCAAGGCATGTATAGTATATCTTCCTGAGCTAAACATAAGTAGGCTTATGTTTGGGTACCTGAAAGCGCCGCTTGATTTTGGAAATAACTAAGGCTATGCAGATTGAAGAGAGCAGCAAAAGAATTCAGGGAAGAGTAAACAAAGGAACAGCTGCCCCAAAGGACCCAATACAAAGGACATGATTACAGCCTACAATGATTGTCAGCCAATACACCCTGGTATATTATTCTTTATTATCTCATTGGTGAGGTTTACTAAAGGCTTACTGCTTGCCAGGCCCTATGCTATATTTATGATTTTCCCAGATCAATTCATCCAAACATCTCACAATAAGCCTACAAAGTAGGTACCAGTATGACTTCCATTATATAGATGAAGAAACTGAGGGTGAGTAATCAGTCAAGATAACTCAAGTAGCAAATGGAAGAAGTGGAAATCTAACCTAGTTAGTGTGACTGCAGAGCAAGTAATCTCACCCAATTATGCTATACTGCCTGTTCCTCTCAGATAAATGATGATTTGCACTTGATGATTTGAAGGGATCTTTCCAGTCCAGCATTCTATATGATTTGCTTCAGTAAATTTGTGATAGAGCATTTAACTAGGCCTAGCAATTTCTAACAGTGGAGAGCAAAATAAAGAAGCTCAATAAAATCTGTGTACATGACCTTAAAGTCAGAATTTAGGTTCCTCTGGGTTATCAAAATTGGTCTTTCCCCATACCAAACCCATCAAAAATAGAAATGTCTTTCTCCACTGCTAGTCAGTACCTTACATTTTTTCCTCCTATAAAGACAGATGGCACAGACAATATTAAAAGACTGTCCAGCAAGAATAAAATATATTTGTAATACAGTCAGCATGATGTTTAAACATAATTGGACTCAAGATAAATTTAGTAAATGCAATTTCTGAAGGGGAAAAAAATCTTATTTTAAAATGTCTAAATTTAGTGTAGGTGAAATAAGTTTATATCAACTATTGATTATTAACCTTGAAAAAACATTATTGGTTGTTAATTAAAAATAGTAACGCTTAAAAGTCTTATAAAATACAGTAACTATTCTTTATACAAAATATTTAGAAATCACAGACAAGTCAAAATACTCTCATTTGTTCTTTTAAGTTACCATAAGAGTTCTTTTCACTTAAAAAAAAAAAAAAAAAAAAGAAACTGGCTAATTTACTATTTTTTTCTTTTTAAAAAAGAAATATAGCTAACTCCGTAAGTGAATATACTATAAAAAGCTGTTAGATACTCCTTAGCCTTCACAAACAATATAAAATACAACTCATAAAACTTTCTGTGTTAATCTTAAGCACCAGAAACTTCTAGGAAATAGCAGTATTTGTTTTTTGGTTTGTTTGTTTTTAAAGTGTAGCACAAAACATTTCTCTCAGAGGCCCAAAGAAGGAAAAAAATTTATTAGGTCCAGAAATCAAAGATGACTTGTATAACTGTGATTACATGCAGAACTGGATGGTTAGAAATGGAATCTATTTAGGTCCCACCTAAGGTTCTCATAGCCATTCCGTAGGCATACTCAGTGCAGTAGTACCCCTAGAAACCAGGATAAAGCTCTCATCTGCATGAGTTTAATGAACCAGATAGATAATTGTATCGCCTATATCTGCCCGTAGCCCATTTTCAGTGAGATGAATTTTCTTGTTCATGAGGTCCACATGGAAAACAGCATGCTCAGAAATGGGGGTCTTCTCAATGTGCACTTTTCCGAGGACAGGAACTCGTCGAGGCCCTAATACTGGGTCATCAAATCTCAGCAGCTTCACTTTGGAAAGGTCTACAGCAAAAGAAATTAGCAATATTAGCATTAATTATAGTCTCTGACTCAAACTCATGAATGAATCTGACAATCCACATTTTAAACACACTAGTTGTTATATCTAAACAAAAATATTTTCATCCGATTATTAAACAGTTTCTAACAAAACTTCATTCCCTTTCAGCGTCTACTCAGATCAAAGACAGTCAGAGATTCTGTATTCACACTTCTCCTGGAATTATAAACCAAGAGAGGAAGAACTGAGTATAATTTTAAGCATTATCCTATATGATCTCTCAAATCATTTTTACATGTTTTAATATAAAAAAGTCTAAAACTGATTTATTCCTTGTTGTGCTTCCAGGAATACATCAAACCTGCAAGAGTCATAGCTTTTCTTGGAGGTACTTTTGGAGAAATAAATGCTACTCAAAGAAACACCACTACCAGCTTCTAATTTACTCAAAAGATGAAAGTGTTTATACTAACAAGTTGATGAGAGACAAGGAGAGAAGTTTATGCCTTAGGATGCGCTCCAGTAACTATCCCAGTTGAGATTTTTGTGATCTGTTCTTGTGCAAGCTGATAAGAAGGCTCCTGACAAAAAAAGCACTTGTCCCTTGAACAAATTTATAATACAACAATCCTGCCAACAACTGAGCCCAAAAGAAATGTATTTATGTCAGCAATTCTGAGACGTTCCAACATCAAATGATTTTATTTCATATGGCAGAAAAACACCATAAATGATTACAAATGTTTATACCTCATTCTAGGTGTAGCATGGCTAGTTATGCTTAACCTGATCCACAGAAATAGAGTATATTTTCTGAATTACTTTCCACCCCTTTCTGAAACAAATCATTGGGTGGTCTGTGAGCTACACTCCCTCATGTTGACTTGAGAGTGTGAAGCTTAGCATGAGAAGGCTAAAAGATAAAAGGAGACATTAATGCAGTTGGTGGCTGAGCCAGGAATACGTGTTCTGTTCTCTTTGGGAAGTAAAGACTGTGACTCCAATTTAGACCAATTACCTGCAACTACCACAAGAGCAAATCCTACCTAAGAGTCTCTGGAGAGAGTCTCTGCAGAGACCATACAATTTCAGAAACAGCACAAGCCCTGAAAGCTAAAATGTGAAAGGAACAAGGACGGGCTACATGGCAGCCATGATCTTATTTTGGGGAAAAATACAATTCATTTTAGCAGTGACTGTAATTCAACTTGCACATCAGTGGTAAGTGATACCAAATATTCTGCTACAGAAGCAATGACAAGTCCTGCCAGCAGATTTCATGCATAAGGCCTTTTTCCACAGATCTGCCTCTCTCAAACAGACCTCCCTCATCATTCCAAGCAATTCTGAATCAAACTATTTCAAAGAAACCTTAATACTCCATCAGGCTTCTAAGTGACAAAACACATTTGCTTTGATGTTTCACCATGTAGTTCATTACTGCCAATAAACTCTTGGAGCTTTCTTAGTGGTTTTACTATCTTTTATCCCAGATCTCTCTTATCATTGAATATGCTGAAATTTAAGTCTGCAACTACACAAGATTTAAGGTCGTTAGAGAAAAGATGAGAGTGATCCTAAGTCCCAAGGGAATAAAAATGTGAACCAGGGGCCCTCACCTCCAAGTTCTTAGTTCATATATGGCATGGGTTGTGAGGAATTTAAATCCATTATCATCAAATAGTTTGCTCATGGCCTTTGTTGAGTGAAAGTGGTTTTAAACCAGTTCCTCTGGCACCTAGATCATAATCACCCTCAATACAATTGGCACTAACTAGACAACTTGTTGGCTATTGCAGCAAACAGACCAAGAACTATATTACTGAATTTAATTCTTCCTTCTCATATGCTCAGTATGCTCGGCCCCTTATTTCAAAGCATCCTAAGGGGTTTTTAAAATGTATCAAGGTTAAATCTCTTCCGTGGATTCTTATAAGAATATCAACTTCAAATCCCCCACAAAGTTTCTGTTTTCTAAAATTTAGAGCAGCTACTAACACCAAACTTAAAACACTGCAGATAATATTATTCATAGCTAGTATAACAAAAGATATAAGAATTATGCCAGAGGCTCAATGAGAAAAGACAAGAGCTAGAACACACATTTCAGTACAATTCCACAGAACCCAGTCAGTGCTGTATCAGAGTACGTTTAAAAAGGAGGCAGATTTAACATTATGTAATACAATTTTCAATACAGAAATATATCCTCTCACATGCTACAACCTTGTAATCCTATCCAGTGGCCCACAAATGTCTATTTTCTTTGAAAGCTACTATAGTGCTTTCCAAGGCTAAGAGTTCTTCCTATTAGAAAATCTTATAATATTCATGACTGAATATATGCAATAGGCTTCTTATATGTTCATATTTCCAAATTTCCAAGTTCTTCTTATTGTGGCATATAAGTTCTAAGAATGGAACTATCATTCTGTGGTACCTGTTTTACTGAGGGAACTTAAGACATTTTGCTAAGTGAAATAAGCTAGACACCAAAGGACAAATACTGTATGCTGCCCCTTAGAGGTACCTAGAATAGTCAAATTCATAGAGGCAGAAAGCAGAACAGTGTGGCAGGAATGTATCAGTACAGCTATTATAGAAAACAGCATGAAGGTTCCCCAAGGTATTAAAAATAGAACTACCAGCAATCCCACTGCTGGGTAGATATCCAAAGGAAATGAAATGAGTATGTTAAAAAAGTATCTACACTCATGTTTATTGCAGCACTACTCACAATAGCCAAGACAGCAAATCAACCAAAGTGCCCATCAACAGATGAATGAAAAAGGAAAATGTCGGGCTCGGTGGCTCAGCCTGTAATCCCGCGCTTTTGGGAGGCTGAGGTGAGTGGATTGCCTGAGCCCGCGGGTTCAAGACCCGCCTGGGCATCAAGACCTCATCTCTACAATAAATCAAAAATCAGCCGGGCATGGTAGCACATGCCTGTAATTCTGGCTACTTGAAAGGCTGAGGCAGAAGGATCGCCGGAGCCCAGCAGGTCGAGGTTGCGGTGGCCAGGAGCGGCCACTGCACTCCAGTCTGGGCGACAGAGTGAGACTCCAACTCAAAAAAAAATAAAGAAAAAGAAAAATGTATTTAAACAATTAAATACTATTCAGCCATTAAAGAGAATGAAATTCTACCATCTGTGGCAACCTGGAAAAGCCTGTAGTTAAGTGAAATATGCATGATCTCACTCACATGTGGCATCTAAAACAGGTTATCTCATAGAAGCAGGGAGTAGAATAGTGGTTACAGGGGTTGGGAAGGATAGGGGAAAAAAGCAGAGAGGGAAAGGTTGGTCAACAGATACAAAGTTACAGTTAGGAGGAATAAATTCTAGTGTGGTTAACAATTTATTGTATATTTCAAAATAGCTAGAAGGAGGTATTTTCAAGGTTCTCACTACAAAAAAATTATAAATGTTTGAGATAATGGATATGCTAATTATTCTAACTTGATCGTTATACATGTGTCAAAAATCACAATAACCCTATAAATATGTACAATTGTTATATGTCCAGTAAAAATAAAATCTTTAAAAAATAAGAACGCGAACAATAGTTACCAGGGACTGGGAGAAGGTAGAATGGGTCTTATTATTTAATGGGCACAGGGTCTCAGTCTGGGATGATGACAAAGTTCTAGAGATGAATGGTCATGATGGTTTCACAACAGTGTGAATGTACTCAAAGCCACTGAGCTGTACACTTAAAAATGACTAAAATGATACATTTTATGTGATGTATATTTTACCACAATTAAAAAACCTATCTATATAAACAATAAAATCCCTGACCTAGTATATACTGCTGCTACTGTTCCATTCGCAGTGACAGATGCAATTGGTATTTCCCTCCTCCTAGTATACCCTTTCCCCTTATCTCCATGAGTATAATTTTCAAGATCCCATCCAAACAATATTTTCTACAAAAATTCATCCCCGATCACCACAGCTGGAAATATCCTCAACTTCCTCTGTGCTGCACATATTACCTACCCTTTTTCACTGCGCTCAGTAGTTTCTCTTAGACCTATGATTACATGAGTCAAGAGCTTAGTCCCCTTCCCCTTTACCAGATGCAGTTCTTAAACAGTACTTCCATTAGGACTTCCCACACCCACGTATACAGAGTTGCTATGTACACAGTTGACTCTACATACACTACACATGGTAGCACCTCAATAAATGTCCACAGAAGGGAAAGAAATATCTTCAAAAGAACATAAGATGCATGGTAGAATGAATGCCAGAAGGCTATTTAAAGTCTTCTATGTTAATGGAATATTACTACCTTGACTATAGTTCCATAAATTAGATCACTGTCTGAGATTTATAGAAAATTTTTATAGTAATAGGAAGTAGCCCAATCAACTTTTGATTGCTAGCAAAAAGAAAAAAAAAAGCAAAACAGTGAATCTCAACATAAATTTATCTTCATAATTCAGAAGAAAAATTATACAGAGACACACCAACTCCTTTCATACTCTGTTCAGACCAGGACCTGGCCAGGTGAGGAAAAAAAGCCATAAATTATTACACTGACTCTAATCATAGATGTAAACTGAGTCTTGACAAGAAATAAAATTATCTACATATTTTACTTGGAGGCAGTGTTTAGAAGAACAAATATGAACTTTGAGTCAAATAGACCTGAGTTTGAATTCCAGCTCCAGGGCTTATTAGCTGAATGAATTTGGCAAGTTACTTAGCCTGCCTGAGCCTCATTTATTTTATCATATGTAAAAGGGAAATAATAATACCCTCAACATTATAGGGCTGTAAAGGGATTAAATGGCTAATGCATGGAAGATACTCAGTAACTTTTATTTTGTTTCTCTTCTTTTCCCAGGAACAGAGCCTGCTGGGCAGGTTAGTTTAAAATATTAAGAGTATATGTCCTTTAATTATGAATACCTCTGAGAGACAGAAATCATTAGTTACAGTTGTAAAGCTAAATGGAGTCTGGAAAAATATTTAATCCAATGTTCTCATTTTATTAAAAGACAGATCAGTTTAAAGCTTAAGTGACATGGCAAAGTCACCAAGCCACCTAGCCACAGAGTCCCAAAAAGAATAAAGGTTTCTTGATTCTGGGCCCAGTGCTCTTTCCAAAATATTACACAGCTGTCCCTCGACAAGCCAGTTACTTTTCTTTTTCCTTTCTGCTTACAACTCACCAAATCCACCATCTATTGCCAAATATGAGTTTCAGGGAAATCATTTACCTTTGATTCCTCGGTCTATTTTCATTAAACGCCTGATTATGGAATCACAGTTATCTCCTTGCCTGATTTCAATTTTGGTTGAGAAGTGACCATTGGATGGCTGGGGATTCACTAGGGAAACTGACACACCTGGCTAGGAAAATAAAGAGAAAATGACTGTTACAGGAAACCAAATCTGAATACTGGGAGGAAGACTATTATATTTTTAATGTCCAATGCAAGACAGATCTAACTCTGGTATTCTAAATCATGACCAAGGCATACTTAGATTTGAAAGAAAAGCTGTGTAAGCTCATGCTTACAAACAAATGCTTAATTAAAAATGACTGCAGCTATATATATCAATACTGATGATAGACATTAACAATAATTACATTTTTTGTTCCACTACTACCAGCATTCATAATTCCTACCATGTATCAGGCATTATACTAAGCGCTTTATGAACATTAGTTCTAAATCCTGAAAGGTTGTTCTTTTGGACCCCTTTTCACAAATAAGACACTGAGAACCGGAAAGATTAAGAAATTAGCCCATGATGACACAGCAAGTAAGCGGCAGGGTCGGTATTAAAGCCAGTTCTATGCCGTACTACCTCCCGCATTAGAGAAGATACATAGTCCAAAATCCTGCTTATTATTTAAGTAGAAAAAGCCACATGAGTCTTGTGAAAGTCTCAAATACATAGTACCTTAACGGAATATTTGAAAATAGCTTGAAATAAATACATTTGTATAGGGAACACTGTTTCATATGCCTGTCTCCATGGTCCAAATGACAGACCTATAAAAAGTCACCACATCTTAATGTAATGAGAATATTCCTCACGTGGTAATAATTACTATTACCTTATTCGTTCAAAATAGGCCTTTTCTGTTTGCTGGATTTTCAAATGTGGTGAGAGAAACAATACATCTAAGTCCTTTGCTTATCAAGAAAAGTAGTTCAAGGACTCTCACAATTGCAGTCCCCTGGACTCTGCCAAAGACTACCAATCTGAATGGATTCTTTGAGACTAAAAAAATAGAATCTCCAAAACCTATTCATCGTCATCAATAATGGCCAAAAAATAAAGGGATAAAAAAGGAAATTCCAGCATAACTAGATGCATCAATCTAGTTTTCACCAAAATCCTTGAATAACAATCAAACTGAGACTCCTCTCAAGTTTGAAAGTTCCTTTTCACTGTTTAAAAAAGTCTTACATTTCAGTTTCCACAGTATTTTTAAAAATAAAAACCAAAGTTTGAAAATCACATTTTTACTTTTCAAGTTCACAAATAAGGCTGGGCGTGGTGGCTCACGCCTGTAAGCCCAGCACTTTGGGAGGCTGAGGTGAGAGGACTGCCTGGACCTAGGAGTTCGAGACCATCCAGGGCAACTTGGCAAGACCTCGTCTCTACAATACATCACAAGAAAAACTAGCCGGGCGTGGTGGCGCACGCCTGTAGCTCCAGCTACTTGGAAGGCTGAGGCGGCAGGATCGCCTGAGACCAGCAAGTCAAGGCTGCAGTGGTCATGTACATGCCACTGCACTCCAGCCTCGGCAACAGAGTGAGACTCCAACTCAGCAACAACAACAAAAAACCCCACAAATAACACTCATAGCACCTATAATAATAAAGTAAGGTAAAGGTGAGCATTGAACCAACCAAGGAAGTAGGTGACACCTCAAGTCCAGTCCCATTTCTAATGAACTACTATGTGGCCCAGAACAAATCATTCATTTTTCTTTGGACCTTATTCCTTCTATCTTTGAAATGATAAGTTTAGATGTAATGATCTCTAAAGGTCTCTTCTAGCTCTAAAATGCAATGATTCAGTGAGATTCCTGCAACTTACTTCTGTTCTAAAAACACTAAGTGGTTTCCCAGGACAGCAGTCTTCTCTGACTTTATCCTCTGCTTCGGAGGCAAACTTGACTTCTATGTGTTCTAGCTAAACAGGCGAAAAAATGGAAGTCATTAGTATCACTTAATACGACTGAAATTAATCATCAACTCATTTCACCAAGATTAAAACTAGGTTCTCCACTTAACATGAAATGGTCTATGCAATTGTATTATTTTCCATATAAACATTAAATGAAATCTGGTATTAGTTATTTAACACTCAGTTTAGATGTCTCATAAAATTGTTATTTATATAGTTATATTTACCATTTTCTATCTGTCATACAAGAAAAAAATGGAAATCAGCATGAAAGGCTTCCATTTAGACATATAGAAGTTCAGAAATTTACCATTTGAGAATTAAGAGGCTTCCACTTAAATAAACAGAAGAAAAGCTCAGAAATACAGCACCCTGCGTACTCGTATATCTGAATGACCCTAAATATATGGTATGTTCCCATTGTCCAAGTGAAAGATCCAAGAAGAGTTTTTTTGATCTCTGAATATATATAAACATTTAGAGACAGAACTAAAGTAGATGTCTATTAACTTATTTAAAACAAATTGCTTATTTAGGAATAACTTTCTTCCATTTCTATATTTTACAATTTACTTCAAACTCTAAACCTTCACTTTTTAACTTTATTATCATTAGAACCACTTTTTGAGTCCTCTAACACAGATTTCTAGAGCAAATTATTTTTCCCTTTGCCTAAGTTGTCTGAGAGACAGCATATTTACAATCTATATATAAAGTTGTGACTAGGACAAGAAAGATGTAATGGCAAGAAAGTCACAGATATGTCAAAGCTATTGGTATTGTTAAACTCTTAGATTGGGTAGTAGATTTATAGATGTTCATATTACTAATTGGAAAAAAAAAAGACAGCATGAACCACAAAGTACAATTAATCCAATTCTGTGAACCTGAGGTCTGAAAGGAAGAGAGAAAAAAAGAAGCAATTCAGAATACTCCATAATATGAGAGACTTGGAAAGCATTTGGATATAAGCCTCTTCTCATTTTCTTAGAGATAATTTGGGTGGGAAGAAATACCCAGACACAGTATTGTTTTTAAATGTGTAATTGAATAGTTATTCATAAAGAATAACTGATAAAATAAAACGACAAATTTTTTTTTTTTTTGAGACTGTGTCTCACTCTGTCACCCATGCTGGCACAGTCTTGGCTCACATCCTGAACTCAAGCAATCCTCCCACCTTATCCTCCTGAGTAGCTGGAAATATAGGTGCATGCCACCACACTCAGCTAATTTTTATATTTTTTGTAGAGATGGGGTGTTACTATGTTGCTCAGGCAGGTCTTGAAGCTCCTAGCATCAAGCAATCCTCCCTCCTCAGCCTCCCAAAGTGCTGGGATTATAGGCATGAACCAACTGCACCCAGATGACAGATCACTTTTAGTCTTCTTGCAATTTTTATGCTCACTCATTCTCTTTCTCCCCAAAAGCATTTTATACTGATATATTTGGCAAAGATACTAAACACAGAAGGTCAAGTTTATAAACAAAGTTTATTAAATACAATTTTAAAAATTGAATTATGGTTTATTATGCTTAACTAGTGATTACAATCCCTGCCTTCTTACCTCAAGGGAATTAGTGAGGTAGACTATATTCTCCATAAGCACCGCCTGTTCATCAAATTCTAACTGCAAATCAAGAACACGTGGCCCCATCTTCTCCAGATTTTCCTAATAGCCAAAGTGATATTAAAAAAATCATTATTAAGAATATGTTGAAAATAATATAATTCCTCCAAAGCCATCAGTCCTCTCTCAATTGATAAAATCTTCAAATTTCAACAGGCTTTAGAATCATGGTTTCCCTTACCTGCTTTGCTTGTTAATGAAATTAACTACCTCAGAATAATTATCACTGAAAATATTACAAGACTAAGGCAGCACTAAAAAGACTGGAAGGCACAAGGCTTTCAGATTTATACAATAATTTTTTATTATTGCTTTATCACTGTTTATTTAGACTGATTTAATATGCAAGTCTACAGAAGTCAGATAAACAAATATATAAAAATATCCCTTTAGGTAACAAAAAAATGAGATTTTTCTAAAACATCACCTTCCTAAAGCTATTTCAAGGAAGAATGAATTAATAACAAACAAAAAACTCCCAAAGATATTCCTAAAAGTTTGAAAAAAAGAAAGAAAAAGTCATACTATACATAGGTACTCAGGTTATCCTATGGCATGTAAAAATCCATTTTTATGTTTAATTTTCTTAAACATTAAATCTTTTTTGCTCAAAACGTAATCTTAGAGATCCAAGTTCATGTGCAGATATAACCAATTGCCTAGAACATGTTATACTTACATGAAAGTGACTCTACATTACTTCTGCTATTCATTGTTTTAGTTTACCACCCAAGTTGTTTCTTTTTCCCATGAAAAGTGCTAGGAAGCCATTTTATTATTCCCAGATTTATTCATTCCTTGCAAAATTTCTAATACCACCAATTTGCCGAGCAAACCACCAATGTTACTAAAAATATACATTATCACTCAAACAGTCTGGCACTGATTCTCCAAGTTTAAGTGAGATCCTAAGGAAGCCAACTATAACCACTTTTCAAATCAGTTTCACTGGATTCTTTTAAAGGATGTCATCAAAATTATTTGCTTTCGCAACCACCAATGGGATATTTTGTTGGATCCACACATTGCCAATGGATCTGACATTAGACAATGGGGACTAGCCACTGGAGAACCAATGAACTATGAGCATACCAGCAGACATATTACAACCTGATTAGTGTAGGTCAATCCAAGACTCTAAATTATTCCTGAAGCTTAATAAATCCTGAGAGTCAGAGAGACAGTGATTTTGGTCTAGGAGAATTATTAGATTTTCCCAAGAATACCAATCTATTCCAATACTGAAAAAGCTAACAGTTCTGGTCTCTTATCAGGCAACTGCAGTGAGAAGACATAAGAATTAATGTAGAGTACAAGAACAGTCACTATGCCTAGTAGGCTGGATGTTAATTTACATTTTTCAAACATTTACTAAGCCTACTTCTTAATAGGCACTATTTAGGTGTGGTAGGTACACAACTTAATTTACTTCTTCTTACAGCACTCTTAAAACATTAGGTTCTGGCTGGGTGTGGTGGCTCACGCCTGTAATCCCAGCACTTCGGGAGGCAGAAGTATGAGGACTGCCTAAGTCCAGGGGTTCAAGACCAGCCAGGGCAACTTAGTGAGCCCTCATCTCTACAATCAATCAAAAAATTAGATGGGTATGGTAGTGTGCTCCTGTGGTTCCAGCTGCTTGGAAGGCTGAGGCAGAAGGATCACCTGAGCCCAGTAGGTCAAGGATGTGGTGGCTATGAGCATGCCACTGCACTCCAGCCTGAGCAGCAGTGAGACTCCAACTCAAAAAAAAAAAAAAATTAGGTTCTACAGCATCTTCATTTTGTAAATGAAAAACTTATGACCCAGAAAATTTAAGTGATTTGTGTAAGGTCTCAAAAGTAAGAACTGACAGGATTTGAACTAAGGTCTGTCTGGTCCTATGCATAGCCCAAGATCTTAAGCAATATAAGTCTTCCTTCAGTTTCTCTTTGTCAAGAAATCCAATAGATCAATTATGCATATTAAAAAAACTAAGAGTCAGTCGGGCTCGGTGGCTCAGCCTGTAATCCCGTGCCTTTGGGAGGCTGAGGTGAGTGGACTGCCTGAGCCCGCGGGTTCGAGACCCGCCTGGGCAACTTGGCGAGACCTCATCTCTACAATAAATAAAAAATGAGCCGGGCATGGTAGCACGTGCCTATAGTTCCAGCTACTTGGAAGGCTGAGGCGGAAAGATCGCTGGAGCCCAGCAAGTCGAGGCTGCGGTGGCCGGGAGCGGCCATTGCACTCCAGTCTGGGCAACAGAGTGAGACTCCAACTCAAAACAAAAAAACAAAAAACTAAAGAGTCTAACCCAGTGATTCTCAATGCTGAGGGACTGGGAGGTGATTTTGCCCCCGGTACATTTGGCAATGTCTGGAAATATGTTTGATGGTCATCACTGAGGGCAAAGGGAGTCTGCTGGCACCCAGTAAGCACAAGTAGGGATGCTGCTAAACACCTTGCAGTGCACAAGATAGCACCCCATGAGAATGACCTAGCTCAAAATATCACTGGAGTCATCGCTGAGAAACCCCAGTCTAACCACTATGACCAATAAATGTACACAGATGTTGAATCTTAGTTCCAGTAACAGGATCTAGGAAAAACACCCTAATACACGCCAAAAGAATATGCTGCTTTTCCAAAAAAGGGAAGGCAAAACATGAAGGTAATAATTCAATGCAGCAGTTCTAAACCAATTTTTTTCCACTATACATATTTTCACAGTCAGCAATTCCACAGGTAAACCCAAAATCTGATAGCTCATTTCTCACAACCATTGACTGAAAAGTGCTATTCTAGCAGATTCTGAGAGGAGACTATGTCCAAGGCTTTCCCCATCCTATTACGGTCCTATCTAACTAAGCATTACTCATGTCGTCACAGTTGCATAAGGTCCACAGCTTACCTTAATCATGGCAACAAATGGCATCACTTTCTTCATGTATTTCTTCAGTTCTGGCATACTGCCTAGTTCACTGGCAATGACTTTGTTGTCAGGCAGCTTTCCACTGTTGGCCTAAAAAAAGGGGGGAGGGAATACAGAGAAAAACACTTCAAGAGTAAGGCAGGAAAGTCAATTTGCCTATAGGAAGTCTGCCAGACACAGAATGGTAGCTCCTGCCAGTCTATTAGAGAACAACAGCTGAGTGTCCAGCTCCTAGGATCATGGGGAAGCGAAAGTGGGATGAACAGCACAGAAGGGAGTCTCATATTCCCCCTACATCAGCAACACATGACTTTTACTTTAAAGGAGAAAATGATGTGATTTACACCAAATATGTAGTCTTTCTTTACAATGTGCCAGCACTGTAACATTAGATTTTACCTGGTCAGAAACTCACATGGTCTTACTGTTTGTTTTCAAACTTCTAAAAACATTTCATTAGTTATGTTAAAATAAAAATCTACACAAATATCATATAAGGTTTATAAAATGTCTGCTTTCGAACACTCTTCCTTATAAATGTAAAAAAATGAATTCCTAGTTATTGAACTATTAAAAATATTATCACTTTTGTCTATTCAAAAATAAATGCCTGTACCATATATCCCTACTAGGAGTACAGTCCCAAATGTGCTAAATGAACTTAAATTCATTCTGCAAATATAAATAGTCGCTGCAATAGAATGAGAAACCAAGCAAGTAGTCTTTTCAGAGTTCTGGTCACTTATTTTGTTCTTATTGTAAAAGCACACATAGATGATTTTTATTTTTTGTGGAGGCGAGGTCTTAAACTCCTGGCCTCAAACGATTTTCCCGCCTCAGTCTCCTAAAGTGCTGAGATTACAGGTGTGAGCCACCACACCTGGCAGAATGAATCTAAATGAAGAGTAACACATAATAAGATTTCAAATGATCTATTTACTTTCAATTCTAACCTTTTCTAAAGTACATGGGAAAAAAAAATTCTAGTTGTCAATGTGTTCCTCTAAAACACATGAAAAGAAAAGAGCAGCAAACACTCCTTTTCTTTATGTCACTAAAAATGTGCTACTTCAACATAAGAACACTCTTCTTGATTTTATAAACTAACATTCTTTTAATTATTTTGGATGAAAGCACACAAAAATCTAAAAGGAAGCTGATAACACCAAAAGATGATATTGTTTTGAATTATCTAGTCAGTAAAAAATGAAGTAAAAAGACAATTTCAAAAAGAACAGAGGTGATGCTTTTTTTAATCCATAGGATGTTACATACTATATTTGCTTCTTCCACTGCTTCCTTAAAATTGCTGGTATAAATATATAACCCACTGAAGTACAGTTTCATTTTTCTACCAACCAAAGTAGTTTTTATCTTTTACTTACCATAATTCAAAATCTACAAGCCTTTTTTTCAAGGGCTACCTTCTCTTTCTATTATAAAAAATCAAAGGTGGAGGAGTTCTCCATAAAAATAGATTCACAAGAGCCATGGCAGGGTAGCTCACTGCCTGCAATGTCAGCACTTTGGGAGATTGAAGTAGGAGAATTGCTTAAGGCCAGGAGTTCAAGACCAGCCTGGCAACAAAGGGAGACCTTGTCTCTACAAAAAATAGAATAGAATTAGCCAGGAGTGGTAGTGAACACCTGTAGTCCCAGCTACTCAGGAGGCTGAGGTGGGAGGATCACTTGAGCCCAAGAGGTTGAGCCATGATTGCGCCACTGCACTCCAGTCTGGGTGAAAGAGTAAGATCCTGTCTCAAAAAATAAAAAATAAGGGATATAACAACACTTGCTCTTCTCTTTACAGCAAACTTTACAAATGCAAAAACAGTTTTCTTAACATTTCTTAATTATGAAAAGCATTGTAGTAAAATTCCAATAAAGATATACAACATCAAAAGTAAAGATTTTTCCTTTATGTGTCTGCTTTACATAGTTACCACAACCTTTATTTTTTTCTCTCTCTCTTTTAAATGCACCTTAATGGTCTGTGATTACCAATAACTTTTCTAATAACCTAAGCAAAAAAGTCAAAATTCCACAACACATACTTTGTTTCTACATTTTAAATGTAAAAGAATAATGGATATTTTTCTCTAGGAAAAGTAAGAACTAAGTTTAAATACTGAGTTTTCTTTTTCTTGCAATGCATCAATGCAAAATAAACACTGAGTTTCTTTTAAACAGAACTATTATCATCTTACAGAGCCAAAACATCTTTGAGCTCTACTTTAAAAACAAAAAATGAAACAGATGAGGGTCTCACTATGTTGCTCAGGCTGGTCTCGAACTCCTGGCCTCAGGAGAATGGCCTGATTCCCCTACCTCAACCTCCAAATGTGCTGGCATTACAGGTGTGGGCCACTGCGCCCAGCCCGAATTCTACATTTCTATAGGTAATAATCAAACCGAACATCATTTTCTTTTAAAGTACTCAAGAACCAAGCTTCAAATTTCTTTAAAAGGATAACAAGGTTAAGATTTTCTAAAACTTACTGTTTAAGTCACAACAAATTCAGAAGGCAAACTGTCTTTTTTCCTTCATAATTTCAGCTACACATATAAAAACTCGTACACCTTTTAATTACATACTAGATGCAATGTATTTTTGCATACAATGATGAAAAAACAGCAGCTTTTCCCTTGTCATCCACTCGAGAGCCACCAAGGATAACAAAGGATGCTCTCTGCCTGGAAGGCATGAAACAAAGCAGCCTGCCTGCCTTCCCTCAGGCATCTGCAACATCCTAAAAACAACACAGACAGTACACAACAATGTTGTGGGGGGGGGGGAGGATCTACTGAGAGGTCACCTCAAAGTGGTTACGCAGAAGTGACAGGGTGGCATGCTGCCAAGGTGGATAGTTCTTTGCCACGTAGATGGTGCAATGTGAGGGCTTCTGAGGGGGTTGTCTGTCAGTCTTCTACATGGTAAAGGAAAAGGGAAAAACATTTCATCACTTTGATATAAACCAAAAATGAGAAGCACCTTCCCCCAATATATACCACCCCTGTCTTTAACATTAATGAACACCTTTTTAATTTCATTACTGTTAAATGTTATTAGACCAATAACTTTTAAGAAATTGTATTTTTAATTGTTTTAAAGTGACTTTACCTTCCCTTTTGCTGGCATCATATAGTTCTTGAGTCGTAACCTAAGGTCATGTGCTACTTCCATGAGATATTGTGAGGAACGTACCAAGGCTTCATCCACAGGACCCGCCATGGGCCATGAAGCATTCATAATTGAGTCAGGCTTTTCAAAAACCAAAAACAAGACAGGTTCACTGAGATCAGACAACACAACTACTTTATGATTCTTGATAAAAGCTTCATACTAAGGCTACCATCTGTAATTGTGTACTCAAAGTTCAAACCTGACTACACATAACAGAATTCCATAGCCCATGATCTAATGTTCCCTAGGATTCAAGCTGTGAAGTCTGACTCTACATTCTTAATTAGCATCCATTTGCACAAGCATATTAATACCCACACACATATGCTCACTTTCAAAGAAAATTATGTAATGCTAATTTGCCTAAATTTAATCATTATTATATAAATTATGCATACTCTCAGTTTTCATCCTGTTAATACATCCAGTGTTAAAAGTATGACTATTTGGTTTATAGATCGTGAGCACATTTTTGTACTGTTCATGCATTTAAAAGTACAAAAGAGCCTGGTTAATAAGGCTGAAAAGAAGTTATTAAACCAGCCAATCTATTTATCTGCAAGACTGGGAGAGATAATTTAATTTATCTTCACAATAAGAATGCTAATATAATATGCCTGAATATGAAGTCCTATATATGCTAGAAGTTTTATATAAAATAAGAATATGTATGCAAACATACTTCTATTTGTGTTTATAGCAGCTCATAACAGTTGTTCATATCTTTCTCAATATTTTCACCTTTTAAAAATATATACATTGTGTATATATAAATAAAGGCACATACATGATATAGCCATCTAAACATGAGATAGCTATGGTTTACCCTGTTGTAATAATTATGATGCTGAATCCAGCATTACTCTTGAAATACTTATTTTCAGTCTTTTTCTCTCAAGTAACAATATTATCAATTAATAATATTAATAGCAATATTATTTAATGAGGTCAAAAATCAAAACATTTTAAATATACAGAGGTACCTTTCCCAGGAGTGTCCAGATGTGCTCACACAGATGTGGACAGAATGGAGCCAAGATAAGTGTCTGAACTTCAATAAACCGGAACACAAGTTCTCTGTGCATACCTTCGATGGCCAGCTCCCGGTACTTATCTTTCGCGGCCTAGAAAATTTGAAATTATCTACCATTTCCCTCACCTTCCTTCTTTAAAAAAGAAAAAGAAAAAAATTTCAATATCTTGATTTTAATGCATTTTTAAAGTTTTTAGTATTAAAAAAATCCATATTGAATTACTGCAAAGGTTTTACCTTATACCTTATTTTTAAGAATTTGCAAGTAAGTATATATCTTTCTCCAAAGGATATTGCAGTTTTATATGAATAATTTTCAAGAAAAAAATATTTAAGATATTTTGTAACTGTGACTTAAGAGCTGAACAATTTTAATTGTGTACTAAGAGTAAATACTGTAAGAGCAACATACTGTATAAAAGGTATTAAATATCAAAAAAGGCTATACGTACAACATATTGCTATACTCAGCACTTATCCTTATTTAACCACATCTCTGAAAACCATGTTATATAAATCTCAAAGTGATATTTTACATAGCTGCTTAAGTAATGCTACATTTTTATTTTAAACATTTGAAATGCCAAACCTGAGGAAATACTGACACCTTGTGGAAAACCTTGGAAAGCATTTGCTTTCAAATTAATTGCAATTAATTACAATTTTGCTTTTGTTTTTATCAACTTAAAAATATTTTCTTGGTTGGGCACGGTGGCTCAGCCTGTAATCCCAGCAATTTGGGAGGCTGAGGAGAGAGGACTGTCTGAGCCTGGGGGTTCGAGACCAGTCTGGGCAACTTGGTGAGACCTCGTCTCTACAATAAATCACAAAAGCTAGCTGGGCATGGTGGCGTGCATCTGTAGTTCCAGCTACTAGGAAGGCTGAGGCAGAAGGATCGCCTAAGCTCAGCAGGTAGAGGCTGTAGTGGGCATGCGCATGCATGCCACTACACTCCAGCCTAGGTGACAAGAATGAGACTCCAACTCAAAAAACAAAATTCCTAAAAGTACAGCTGGATTTTAGATTTAATCTTCTTTACATCAATGTTCATGATTTAATTAGGAGAAGAATTATTTATAGACACAATAGGATAAAAATATCAAAGAAAACTACTTAAAATCACAATTTATTAAAGAATTTTAAAATCTCCTGGCAGAATTTTCATAGTCTATACTTTAGACAAGTAATTATGTTATAGCAGGAAGAAAAAGAGGGAAAATACATCATATTCGCACTGACATGTTTTATAGCTACCGAAAGAATTAATAGCCTACCTGAAACTCAAAAAAACCTGTTTTCAAAGCTTCTTTAAACATCATCTTTTCATAGTTTTGATCTGTTTTTAGAATTCCGGCATTCATTTCACTATTGAATAGGAAAAAAAAGGTAATTGAGTTTAAAGCCAATGGTATATATAGATATAAAAAGCTGCTGCATATACTAATAAGCAGCAGAATAGGAACAATGCCTAAAACATTAGCTCAACACAACACCATCCTTGCACTCCTTAAAACTGACTTCTGTGGTCTCCCGTCTGTCCACACTGTCATCTAATACTGCTTAGGCCTCCTGCTATAACATGGAAAGCAATGATTGTTTACAAGTTCCTTTATTGTTACAAAGCCAAAATGCAATATGAAACTATCTTAACTAAAGTTGTAGCTAGTTTTTAATTGCTGCGTTTTAAATAACTAATATTGAACATTAGGGGAAAAAAAGTATCATACCATTATTCTAATCTGGCCCCTACTCGTTTCATCTCCTCCCTCTGTGAACCAGACGTTATACTTCAAATAAGTACCATACCCTTTCCATGGCTTATAAACTTTCTCCTCTGCCTGCAAAAAGCCTGTTTGTTTTCCAAGAAACCCAGAACTCACACGCCATCTCCTCTGAATTCTCTTTATGCCTATTATTGTACTTAGAATAGGTTGGGTAAGTGATCGCCTCTCTTGCTAGACAACAAAGAAAGATCATGTTTTATGCGTCTTTGTACACCAGTGCTTATGATGACTCTTGACACAAAGAGGTTGATGAATTTCTTTTAAATGAAAAAAAAAGACATTTATCCTTTTCTTTTAATTGACTTTTCCTTTAACAATTTTGTCCTACTCTAAAGCAAGACAGTATGGCAAAATGGTTATGAGAACAGGTTTTCAAGACAGAAGAAGCAAGCTCACATCTCAAATTTGCAATTACTGGCTTTCACGCATTTAATGAAATGCTTAAACTTTCTAAGCCTCAGTTTATCAATAAAAGTAGAGGTAATAGTAATATATTTATAAGGTTGCTTTGAGGCTAACATCAGATAATGGATGCAAAATACTTAGCACAGAGCCTGGCATAAGTAAGTCTTCAATCAATAGTAGCTTTTATTATCATCTAATTTATTTTAGAAACAAAAAGAAAACTTAAAAATGCACTGGGACTAAGCAACTCTAAAACACAGAGTGGCTGGGATCCATAGATTACCTGGCAAAAACTCTATCATTGAAAGTGCTGGCAGGACCACTTCTTAAGCTATCCCAGTTGGCAACCATTTCTTTCACCCATTCCATCCAGGTGTACAAACGAAGGATCCCTGCATCTGCCATGGCTTCCACAAAGTTGGCATCTTCAACAGTGTCACCAGCATCAGCTAGAGCCAAGCGCATTCCTAGAAGAAGGGAAAAAAAAAAATCAATAAATTAAAATTCGGTTACTGAGAATCAACGAAGTGTCCAGTTGGGTACACTGAAAAGCCCATATGCAAATCAAAAAATAAAAAATGCTTTAAAGGACTGCCCTGGAGCAACAACAAAAATAAGTCACCAAAAGCAAGATCGCTAACGATGATGTTAAAATATCTGAGCCATCTGTATTGGTTTGCATACACTTAGCATCAGTGTGTTTCTTCTCAGGCATATTGAGTTAATGAGATACAATGATATTTATTACTTAACTTACTTGCTTATTTATTTACTGAATTAGGGTCTCACTCTGTCACCCAGGCTAGAGTGCAGTGACACGATCACAGCTTACCGTGTAGCCTTGACCTCCTGGGCTTAGGGAATCCTTCCACCACAGCTGGGACACCTGGCACACACCACCAGGCCTAATTTTTTTATTTTTTATTTTTTTAGAAACAAGGTCTCACTCTTGCTATGAAGCCTAGACTGGTCTCAAACTCCTGGGCTCAAGGTCCCACCCTGACCTCCAAAGTGCTGGGATTTTAGGTATGAGCGATTGTGCCCGGCCGATACACTGATCTTTAATAAGGCAGAGGAAGAAAATGATAAAATGGGGAAAAACACACACTTCTTTGTGATTTCCCTATCAACATCTCAGCCTCATTCAGAAGTAACAAAATATTATGATATTTTAATGCATGAGAACACACACTGGTGCCTTACATGTACAAATGCATATTTATCAGTCCTAAAACTTGGTTCTTCCAAGTTTTTCACTAATAAAACTTTATTTTTTCAATTCTCAAAAATATTAGAAAAAACTAAATGTCCATCATAAGAGCCTAATTAAATAAACTACAGGGCAGCCCTACAATGGAGTGCCACATTGCTTTAAAAAAAAATGAGGAAATTCATTATGTACCAATATGAAATGATCTCATATGAACTGTGAAATGAAAAAGACACAGTGCAGACAGATATGTAGTATGTACCCTCTGTGACTTAAAGGAGGAAGATCAGAACATATAATAAGTTATGAATGTGTTTATTATCTTTTAAAATACACAAAAAGTTGAAAACATTCTTTAGCTTTTGAAATAATTTAATACTTACAGAAAGGTTACAAAAACAGTACAGAGAATAAATATATACCATTCACCCAGCTTCCCTAATGTTAACAACTTACATAGCCATAGTATCAAAACCAGAAAGTTAACATTAGTACAATTCCATTAACCAAACTATAGACCTTATACAAATTTTACCAGTGTTTCTTCTAATATCCTTTTTTCCTTCCAGGATCCAATCCAGAATCTCACACTGCATGTAACTGTTGTGTCCCCTTAGTTTCTTCAAATTTGTAACGTTTTCTCAGTCTTTCCTTGTGTTTCATGATACCACCCTCTCGCCCCCACTTTTAAGAATACTAGCTACTTAATAAATTGTTCCAAGTTTGGTTTTGCCTGATGTTTTCACACATTAGACTGAGGTTATAAACCTCTGGCAAGAATACCACAAAAGAGAAGTTATGTGCTTCTTAGTGTATGGTACCAGGGAGACAGATAATATTAACATGACATATTACTGGCGATGCTAACCTTGATAACTTTGTTAAGATGGTGTCTGCCAAGTTTCTCCATTATACATCTAGAATTTTTTCTTTGTGATTAATAAATATCTTGGGAGAGATACTCTGAGAATTCTTGTGAAACTCACCCATTGATCTTATCACCCACTGGTGGATTTGCCTGTAACAATTATTACTATGGTGTTTATCTGATGATAATTTTATATTTCATTCAATATTTCTACATTTATTAATTAAAATGGAAAGGAAGAAATGTCCCTATTCCCCCAGTGATATATTTATTTAATTATTAATACATATAAGTAAGGATTCATGGATATGTATTGTTCTCATCAGGCTACAATCCACCTCATTATTACCTTGTTGCTTTAATGGCTCTGACTTGGGCCACAGGAGTTACTTCAGGTTGGCTTCTGTGTCCTTCCAACATGCTTTTTTAAGCACTTATTTTCTGGCAGCACAAAATGTTTCACACATTGTAGTTTCCCTATCCCAGTCCTCAAATCAATCACTTCTACTAAGAGTCCTAGTTCCTGTTATAGGAGAATGGTGTTTAGACACCAAAATCTGAATGCCAGGTGTTTCATTTCACTGCTACTGCAGTGTCACTGTTTCTACGCCCTCTCAGCAGATATAAGGAAATATACATATGTATGCTAATCCACACATACAAACCCATCTATGTTTATTTTTATATCTGTATACCTGTACACAAGATAAGAATGAGCTCATACTGATATCACCCAAATCTGATATCACCCAAATGAACAGGGTTCATTCTAGCATTTCCCCTTTACTTACATATAACTTGTTTTCTGACAGTGAGCTCTCTGAAAGAGGTCCTCATTAGTTATCATATATTTCCTTATCTATTCAACCCTAATATACACATAACGTCATTTCATAATTGCTTAAATCTCTTGTAATAAATAAACTTACTAACTAGAGTATTTGTGTACAGTTCTTTTTGTCTTTAGCTTTAGTGTCCAAGCAAAATACTGGTTTTAGAGGTATTTAGGCTAGTTCTTCCCCGTACCCCTCAGTATGGCCATGAGTTCATCTGTAATACAGTGTGTCTATTTATGACTATGTGTATTCCATTTAGAGTCCCTTCTCCCATGTCCTGGTTGACTTTAATTATGGGTTTAATCTTTTGGCACCTGAAACATTATTATGGTTCTAGGAGTCAAAATTATATGAAAAGCCATACCTGAGAGAAGTGTTGCTGCTTCTTTGTCCTTACCACCCAAATCCCATTCTTCCCACATCTTTCCCACCCACCCCAGAGGTAGCTAATCTCTTTGGCTTCTAGTTTATCACTCCAGTATATTATCCCTTGATAGCTGTAGGGGAGTGGTTGTAGGACCCACACAAATAACAAAAACCTCAGATGGTCAAGTACCTTATATAAACTGATGCTGTATCTGCATATAACCTATTACATCCTCTTGCATATTTTAAATCACCTCTAAGTTACTTATAATACCTAATACAATGTAAAAGCTATGTAAACAGTCATTGTATTACATTATTTAGAGAATATAGATAAGAAAAAAAGTCTGTACATGTCCAGTACAGATGTAACCATCACAGGCCTAACTACATCTTCAATCCACAGTTGGTTACTTAAATCTGCAGAAACATAACTCAAAAAATATGGAGGGTTGACTGTACTTTTTAAAATTAGCAGATATATATATATTCTTATATGCTCTACTTTGCTACATTAGATATTCACTGGATGTGGATATATTAAATATTCTTTTGCAGTGTTTTTTTGAGGGGGGGCTTTTTCACATAAAAAGTATAACCTACAAATCACTGCAAATCAGTTCATCAGAGATCATAGTCTTGTCTTTTTATAGTTGCACAGTACTCCATTATTTGGCTATACAATCGTTTCTTCATCTACTTAGTTTATTCCAATATTTTGCAAATACAAACAATGCAGTAGTGAATAACTCTATGCACATGTATTCTTGTACTACTGGAGGGTATCTTTAGGCTAAATCCCTACAAGTGGGGTCACTGGGCCAAAAAAAAATAAGGTAAGTTTTATTAGGTATTGTCAAATTTGCCTCCAGGAGAGTTGTAACAATTTGTATTCCCAACAGCAATGTATGAGTATGTGAAGAAATTGTTAACCTTGTCCCTGGAAAAAAATGAGTACCTAGGAAGTAATTTCATTTCTTTTTCTTTCCTTCTTTCTTTTTTTTTTTGACAGATAGGGTCTCACTCTATCACAAGTTTGAGTAAGTGACAGAATCATAGCTCACTGCAGCCTCAACCTCCTGGGTTCAGGTGATCCTCCTACTTCAGCCTGACCAGTAGCTAGGACTACAGACAGGCACCACCATAATTGCCTAATTTTTTACGTTTTGTAGAGATGAGGTCTCACTATGTTGCCCTGGCTGGTCTTGAACCCCTGGCCTCAAGTTATCCTCCTGCCTTGACATCCCAAAGTGCCAGGATTACCATTGTACATACATTTTTTATTCCTTCTGAATTTTGAGCCACATAACTGCATAATGTATTCAAAATCAAATAACATTTTTAATAATGTATTCTAAGAGCCAGTCAGAAACTTGGTTCTAATTCAGAGAAATTGAGAGCACAAACTGAGCTAGCCACAATCAATTTTAAAAAGTAACGTAATGACCACTGACATAAGAAATAGTTCCATCAGGATAGACACTGCATTTTTTTTCTCTTGACAAAGCAATAATAAAACTTAACAGTACTGAGGCCAAGCAAAAACATTTTCTGAAAAATGAATGTTCCCAGGTTCAAGTCACCTGTGGGAACACCAAACACAGAGGAAAGATCATGAAAATCTTCCTACATACTCAACATCTCTACAAAACAAGTCTTGAATCTTAACAACTATAATGACTTTCATTTAAAACAAGACTCAAAGTAACTTCAGCCTGAATGTGTTCCTGAACGCACGTCAGCATTTCTATGTTTTAAATATTATGTTGCTTGTCTACAAACATTATTTTAAAATTTTGTGAAAAGCAAAAGAGAAAACAAAATTATATGCCAATTTTAACTTGTCTTCTGTAATCTGAAGAGAACTGGACCCTATGCTACAGCAATAACCAAAAAGTATACTCACCATCAGCTGAAAACTTGTCAATAGCCTGGGTCAAAGTGAGGAAGTTGCCTGTGGATTTTGACATCTGAAATAGAAAGTCAATGATCAAGTTTTAATAAAAATATATATAAAGTAAACCAAATCAGTCAAATCAAGTTAGCTAGGTTAGCCATGATAAGAAAACAAAAAGTAATTAGAAACATGGAAAGGAAAAGATACTTTACACTAATTTTAAAGGGGCAAAAACTGAAGTGGAGTCAATGAAGTGACTTGTTTGGGTTACTCAGCGAACCAGTGACAGAGCTGGAACAGGCTCTCCAATATGACACTCAGTCCACTGTGATTTAACCTCGCCTATCCCCTGGTGATTGGGTTAGACATGGAATGAGTTCACTGTAACTCTGGAACATTTCAGCTGCTGACAAAAGCAAGAGCTTTGCAGCAATTAGAGTTACTCAGAAATAGAACGGACCAGCTCATAAGGTCACATAGGATCTCAGGAACCTTTCTATCACTTGGGTCACAATAATTGGTTACTCAAGTTGTGCTCTAGCTTAAGGCAGTGCATCTACAGAGGAACAATTCACAGCCCTAAGACTTTTATCGTTTTAAAATTTTTATGTCATTAGCATAACTTTGCTAACGCCAAAAAGGGGTATGATTATATCAATTTTCCACTACATGGCAATAAATGCCTTGTTCTAATAAAATCAGTATAGTACAACAATGTTCAGTCAGACCAAGGAAAATGTCATGTTCTAACAAAACTAACATATTACCTGCTTTGACCTTACAAAGAAAAAATGAGTTCAATAATCAAAAGTCCTTGTTGAGCTAACAAAATCTATAAAGTTGCACATGCTTCTAAACAGCAGTTTTTCAGTAGAATATACAGATTAGTCTTTTTTTCCCCTCAAAATGAGGTCTCACTATGTTGTCCAGGCTGGTCTCAAACTTCTGAGCTCAAGTGATGCTCCCACTTAGCAGATTATCTCAAGTGAACTTTTAAAAATACCTTTCATTATTACAGCAATAGCTAAATCTAATGTTACATACTGCAATTCATACCCTCTACCATTTGTTTAAATTTGTTAACAATTTTCCATTATGACATAGATACTCATAGAAACTAGTACTTTGTCATTACTGTTCCTTTGGTTCCAGCAAAATTCACTGGTGCAACAAATCCAATTTGTTACAATTTTTATTAATGAGAAATAAATAATACTGTAACTTTTTTTTTTAGTGGAGGAGTAGTACCCTCTCCAACTTGCACAGAAATACCATAGGAGCACAGGAAAGCTCTGTTAAGTTTACATGACTGCCTGTTGAGGATGTTGATTAGTGAGATAAAGTCCTATATAGCCTGTAAAAAAAATCATGCTATTAACAGTATGTTAACATACTGTTATTAACATACTGTTAATAGGAGTAATAAGTAATAGGAGTACAGAGAAGACTATTATACTGCTTATGAAGAAGCAGAGTGACAACTAAAAATTCTACTAACTCCAAAATTCTATTATTCTACTAATTTAGTGGGACCTAACAGTATAAAATAAAAAGCACCAAGCATTTTCTCAATTTAATAAGAAACATCTTCTGGGTCACAAAGCTAAGCTCTCTCTGATTCCTGTCTATATCTCTTATCTCTCTCTCTGTCTCTCTTTCTCTCTCTACTCCAGTCACAGGAGTACTTTGTGTCACCTTCTGTCATTCTAAATACAAAGTTACTAATAGGTAACTTTTCTCCATTCTCTCTTCAATTAATACTATCCACTCTACTTGCTCAAATTTAAAGATAAAAACTTAGTTTATGATTAGTCCTAAATGCTTTGAATAGAAGGTTTTTTAACACTTTGATTAATTTATATTCTTTATGTCTTACATATTATTAAAAAAAATTCTGAAAAGTCTTCTGCAGAATTTTAAATTTTCAAGAGACAATAAGACATTGCCAGGCATGGTGGTTCACACCTGTAATCCTAGCACTTTGGAGGCTGAGGCGGGAGGATTGCTTGAGCCCAGGAGTTTGAGATCCACCTGGGCAACATACCGAGACTTCATCTCTGAAAAATATATTTTTTTTAAAAATCAGCTGAGTGTAGTGGTGTGCGCCTGCAGTCCCAGCTGTTCAGAAGGCAGAGACAGAAGGATTGTTTGAGATCAGGAAGCCATGCAGTGAGCCATGATCATGCCAATACACTCCAGCCTAGGCAACAAGGTAAGACAAAAAAAAGAAGCAGCAATGAGCCTTACCTTCTCAGAGTTGAGGAGGAGATGTCCATTTGCTCTCACAGAGACAGGCCACTTGTCACTTCACAGGTAAATGTTTAAAAACAGAAAAGAAAAATCAAAGAAAGGTTATGGTTTAGGCTAAAAATTTTAAGGTAAACACTAATAGATTTATGAAAGCTTGCCAAAATAAATGACAAGGATATATACTGCAGTCCTGTTTGTAAGAGGAAACACCCGAGAACAATCCAATGACTGGTTATATAAACTATGACACAGGTACACGGTGATGTAACTTTCTAGGTGGGACAATGTGTCTAAATATAAAAAGATCTGTAAGATATATGCCAGGCAGCTGGGCTCGGTGGCTCAGCCTGTAATCCCGCGCCTTTGGGAGGCTGAGGTAAGTGGATTGCCTGAGCCTGCGGGTTCGAGACCCACCTGGGCAGCGACACCTCATCTCTACAATAAATCAAAAAATCAGCCGGACGTGGTAGCACACGCCTGTAGTTCCAGCTACTTGGAAGGCTGAGGCCGAAGGATCACCGGAGCCCAGCAGGTCGAGGCTGCGGTGGCCGGCAGCGGCCACTGCACTCCAGTCTGGGCGACAGAGTGAGACTCGAACTCAAAACAACAACAACAACAACAAAAAGATATATGCCAGGCACAGCAGCATGAGCCTGCTGTCCTGATTACTCAGGAGGCTAAGGCAGGAGGATTGTCTGAGACCAGAAGATCAAAGACCAGACTAGGCAACACAGTGAGATCCCATTTCTTTAAAACAACAAACAAACATATCTGATGCTGGTATACAAAACGACAAGAAACAAATAGCAGTGATGAGCTTTGGTAAATAGAGTGGTGTACAGACAAACACAAAAGTTCGCTTTTTACCTTTATGTATTCTTTAAATTTTCAAACTATATACATGTCATTTGTTCCTTCCTTCAATGTGATCAAGTGATCGAGTTGGGGGTGGGGTTTGAGAGTGAGAGTTCTGGAGTCAGTCTCTCTGGGTTTGCATGCTAATTCTACCACTTATTAGCTAGGTAGCCTTGGGTGAATCATTTGACTTCTTTATGCCTCAGAAAGGTTCCTTGTCTGTATATTGAATATAATAGACTTTCCTCAAAAACTTGCAGTGAAAGCTAAAGGAATTACTAAAAGTGATTAGAACAGTGCCTGGCATTTTAAAGAACCTAATAAAGGTTAGAAACTTGGTGTAGGCCAGGCTCGGTAGCTCAGCCTGTACTCCCAGCACTTTGGGAAACCGAGGCGAGTGGACTGCCTGAGCCCATGGATTCGAGACCAGCCCAGGCAATTTGGCAAGACCAGTCTCTACAATATTGCTACCATTCCTATATCTAAACAAGTCAAATTACTAACAGTCCACCAATGTACCTGAAATATGGCATGCTTTGGTGGTCTATAATCCTAGTTACTCGAAAGGCTTCTGGATATAACAGATAGAAGGAAGGCCAGGAGTAGTGGCTCACACTTGTAATCCCAACACTTTGGGAGGCAGAGGCAAGAGAACTGCCAGAACCCACAGGCTCGAGACCAGTCTGGGCAACATGGCAAGACCTCATCTCTACAATAAATCAAAAAGTTAGCTGGGCATGGTGGCGCATGCTTGTAGTTCCAGTTACTTCAAAGGCTGAGGCATAAGGATCACTTGAACCCGGGAGGTTGAGGCTGTGGTGGCCATGAGCATGCCACTACACTCCAGCCTGGGAGACAGTGAGACTCTGACTCAAAAACAAACAAACAAACAAACAAAAACAGAAGTAAACTTTCTGTTCCAGTACTCATTTAATATAAGAAAAAGACTGTAACTGGCAAATCTAGTTATACCATCCACAATAATTTCTTAGATATTTGAAGCCACAAGACACCCTTGCTGGCAATCAATAATAAATCTAGTCCACATCCATTTTAGCATTCACCTTTGGTCTGGCCACATGGCCACATGATTATACAGGTAATATGAAAGATGATTTGGAACAAGATCCTTTCCAGAGGCTCGAAGATCCACAGGATACCAGAATTCAAACTCTTGTTTTAGCTGATCTAATTTTTCCTTTGGAATCAGAGTCTTGGGAAACGGAGCTCCTTTGAAGAATATATAATCCCAAACTTCCTTGATCATCTGTTGAGGTCTATATTAAAAGTAAAACAAATAAACAATTATGTATATATAATTTATTTGAAAAACTCAATACTTTAACCTGACCATGAGTGAGGAATTTCTTTCTTAATGTAGTTACGGTACCAAATAAGGACAATAAGCCGCCATAAGAATGAAGAATGGATGATAATAATAGAGGAGAGGCTAATTATTAATTTTTTTCAGTTCAACAGTAAAAAATTCTAATGATTTCTTATAAAAACTAGATATTAAAAAGCAGTATTTCAATATGTAAACCAAAAAATCACCATTCCAACCAATTACACTCCTTTCCTTCATCTGCTTACCAACCTGATGCCCAGCGGAGACTCTGCCTGTCCACATAGGTTACCCCCCTGCAACAGGTGTGCAACTGTGTAAAATGCCATGTAAATCGTGGAATCAGAGAGGGATTCAATCAGCCACTGCTCATCCCAAGGCAGGCGAGTGCCTGCAAATTAAAGAGAAAAGTAATGCATGAGGAACCTAAAAGTCTGTTCATATATAGAACATGATTTAAAAAAAAAAAAAAAAAAAAAA